CCCCCCCCCCCCATACTCTGAAGTTTAACTTGGCACCACTAAAAGGCATGCGTATGCAAAATCTGAGACCAATTGGTTGTCATATGTAAAAGTTATGCACGTTTACAGCATCTCAGGAAATAATTCGTGGGGGCCCCCCCCCCTTTTAGACAGCGAAATTTAATGGCCGTCTGGGACACCTTCAAGGTGTCACGACTTCTGCGACCGCGCCGTTCGAAAGCCCCGACCTCCCTTCCCCTCCTATCCGCGGCCACGATTCTTAAAGTTCGACGAGTTACCCTCTGCGAATGTTTTTTTCGGAAGCCCGACCTTCGGGGGTGGCCGCAGAGGGGGTGAAAGCGAATTTTCCGGGCGTAGCCGTGCATCGGAAAAGTCGCCCCGTCGGAATTCGTGGGGCGTGTGAAAATTTGGTGTAATCGCTGCGGCTCAAAGTGGAGTTATTGACGAAATTCTCGAATTTTGCTTTGTACCATAAAAAGTTGGTTGCGCCAGTCTGGCGGAAGATAAACCAAAATTAATGGCTTATACGTGTCAATTTCTGATGGGTTCGATCCGTTTCGTGATGTAGCATGAAAACTAATGGTTTTTTAACCACGGAAGTTTCTGAATAATGACACTAAACGTGAGAAAAGAAATTTAGTGGTACGACGAATAATGATTGCTGCTGAAACCGTTTAGCAACATTTTGACGGTGTAGCTGCAAACATGGAAAAAGTGTGGATTAAGCCGAGAGATGCATTCAGCGCTAGGTCATGAAGGCGCAATAAAAAAGGATTAAATTCGCCGACCAGCTAGTTTACTTTTTAAAATAATTCTGCTTTTGCAGCCATTAGATTCGCGATCATCTTTACACTTTCACAGTTGCTACTCGTAATCTTTCTTGTTTGCACTTTGCTATTTATATTAAAGCAAAACGGGACCAACGGAATTTCTGCGACCGACGTCCCCTTTAAACCAACAGTAGGCCAACATCTTTTGCTTACCTGCATTTTTTGTCTGGAACAACGAAACAATAAGCTACCTCGGAAACAGTGCACGCGTTCTAATTTTACGATTTGAAGGGGGTACTGTAACGGCAACCAGTTTTTTTAGGGCATTTGCTCAAAAAGCAAGTGTGTATTTTAATTTTCCGCTTACACTCCGTCCAATACCTACCTTTAATTTCCAATCTTCCTTCGTCTTTCGTCTTTCCGTTGGCGAGCCTGACTTCGTAACCGAACGCCTTGGCGCTGCAACCCTTCTCGTCGGTACGATCCCCGCAGTCGTTGACACCGTCGCAAATCTGCTTGTTCGCGATGCACTTCTTGTTCGGGCACACGTGGAGGTTACTGCAGTTCATCGAGAGCGCGTTCATCTCGAAGTAGTCGTACGCGTAGGAAAGAATGAGGGCGCCGGTCGTACCGACGTTGCCGTCGCTCAGAAAACAACACCCGTCGTCTCTCCTACAATAAGACTTTCAGCGCATTTGCACTCCCGCTCGTTGGGTTACCTGTAGGAGAAGGACCTGCACTGGAACCCCTTGCTGTCGAGACAGCTGCGCGCGCAGTTCAACATGCTAACGTTGTAGAACTTCTCCTTCTCGCGCACCGCCAGAATGTGATTGGGAATCGCCGCGAACTGATTGAGCATCGAGTCGCAGTCCTTCTCATCGTCGCCGTTCGGGCAGTCGACGACGCCGTCGCAATGCATGCCCTTCGGTATGCACTGGGTCGGCGTACAGTAGAAGTCCAAGATCGAGCAGGTGTCCTTAAATTTGAAATTGACGAAAGGCTTCGGAGGTTGCGGTTTTAAACCGTCGATTGCGTTCTGATTGTCTTGCTTCAGCTTTTGGTTTTTTTGGCCTTTGACCTGTCCGGAATTTGGTCTCTGACTCTGGCCGGTATTTTGTTGGTTCCATTGATTGAACCCTTGATTTGTACTTTGTTGGGAATTGCCTCCAAATTGGTTATAACCACCTTGACCCGTAGTCTGTTGTTGACCCCCTGGTTTTCCGTTAGTTGTAGGCTTCTGATTCCACTGGTTGTATCCTTGATCAGTGGTTTGTCCGTGACCTGTAGGTTTTTGGTTCCATCGATTGAACCCTTGATCTGTGCTTTCTTGAGTCTTGTCCACATTTTGATTGTAACCACCTTGACCCGTAGTCTGTTGTTGACCCCCTGGTTTTCCGTTAGCTGTAGGTTTCTGATTCCACTGGTTGTATCCTTGATCAGTGGTTTGTCCGTGACCTGTAGGTTTTTGGTTCCATTGATTAAACCCTTCATCTGTGCTTTGTTGGGTCTTGTCCACATTTTGATTGTAATTGTAACCACCTTGACCCGTAGTTTGTTTTTGAGCCCCTGGTTTTCCGTTAGTTGTCGGTTTCTGATTCCACTGGTTGTATCCTTGATCAGTGGTTTGCCCGTGACCTGTAGGTTTTTGGTTCCATTGATTAAACCCTTGATTTGTACTTTGTTGGGAATTTTCTTCAATTTGATTATAACCCCCTTGACCCGTAGCCTGTTGTTGACCCCCTGGTTTTCCGTTAGTTGTAGGTTTCTGATTCCACTGGTTGTATCCTTGATCAGTGGTTTGCCCGTGACCTGTAGGTTTTTGGTTCCATTGATTAAACCCTTGATTTGTACTTTGTTGGGAATTTTCTTCAATTTGATTATAACCCCCTTGACCCGTAGCCTGTTGTTGACCCCCTGGTTTTCCGTTAGTTGTAGGTTTCTGATTCCACTGGTTGTATCCTTGATCAGTGGTTTGTCCGTGACCTGTAGGTTTTTGGTTCCATTGATTAAACCCTTGATTTGTACTTTGTTGGGAATTTTCTTCAATTTGATTATAACCCCCTTGACCCGTAGCCTGTTGTTGACCCCCTGGTTTTGCGTTAGTTGTAGGTTTCTGATTCCACTGGTTGTATCCATGATCAGTGGTTTGCCCGTGACCTGTAGGTTTTTGGTTCCATTGATTAAACCCTTGATTTGTACTTTGTTGGGAATTTTCTTCAATTTGATTATAACCCCCTTGACCCGTAGCCTGTTGTTGACCCCCTGGTTTTCCGTTAGTTGTAGGTTTCTGATTCCACTGGTTGTATCCTTGATCAGTGGTTTGTCCGTGACCTGTAGGTTTCTGGTTCCATTGATTAAACACTTGATCTGTGCTTTGTTGAGAATTGTCTCCAATTTGATTATAACCACCTTGACCCGCAGTCTGTTGTTGACCCCCTGGTTTTCCGTAATTCCACTGATCAGTATTTTGGTTAAAACCACCTTGATTCCATTGATTATACCCTTGATCAGTAGTTTCTTGGGCGTTGCCTTGCTGATTCCATTTCTGTGGCTGGCCTGCAATTTATAATGCCAAACGACGCGTCTACCAGACTAACCTAACTTACCGATGGCCCAAACATTCGTCATTCCTTTTCTGGAACAGTCCACGTTGTAGGTGTAGTCGCACTCTCTCGTCGCTATATTGAAAACCAGGCCCTTGGGACACGCGAGAATGGTCGTCTCCCCGTCAACGCAACTGATAAACTTAAAGCACACGTGAGGATATGGGTACAGGCCGTACGCGTTAGGGGGGCAGATCAGAGTTTCCTCTCGTGTACTCTCGGCGCCCTTCTGTTCGTTTCTAACGTCAATGTCAGGGCGGTATTCCTCATGCGTTTCGCAGTCGACGTTATAGGGGAAGTCGCAGACCTTTAGATTTGGGTTGAAGACCGTACCCGGTCCGCAATCCTGAATGAACGTTTGCCCATTGGCGCAATTCAAAAATTTCGAGCAATCGGTGGGGTGGGGGTGGAGCCCGACCACGTCCTTTGGACATTTGGGTTTGTGTTCGTAATGAGTGTAGACGGGCGGGGGCCTTTGTAATCGGAATGGAGTTCCTCGTGTGTCTCCTGGTTTGGTTCGAACTGGCTGCTCCAGCTGGCGCACTCCGCGTTGTAGGGGAAGTCGCAACTGTTGATCTTCAAGTTGAACAGCGTACCTGGGCCGCAATTCATCACAATCTCTTTACCATTGTCGCAGTTGATAAACTTGGCGCAGTCGTAGTGATGGGGTACAATGCCGGAGAATCCAGCGGGGCAGCCCGTTTTCAGCTTGAGCTTCGTAAGGGTTTGCTGGGTGTAATCGTCTTCCGGTTCGTAAAGGCATTCGACTTTCGACGCGTAATCGCACTCGAGCGTGTACGCGTTGAAAAGGGTGCCAGGAGCGCAGTTCTGCACGAACCCCCGCCCCTTGTAGCAGTTTAAAAACTGGCTGCAAGAGGACGCAAATGGCACGGGCCCCGTCATCAACTTGGGACACTTTGAGTACGCCTCGGGTTGTTTCGAGTGCACGCTCTGTTGCGCCACATTACTCGACGCAAACTCCTGCTCGAACTGCTCCACTTCCTGTTGGTGCGTGTGCTCTGCTTCAATTATCTGAAACAAATCGTGATTCCCAGCCTGCGGGACCTGCTGCTCCTGTTCCTGCCATTGAATCGTCTTAATTCCGGGCGTGGACAGTTTCTTTTTGGTCCCAGATTTATCTTCGGGAATTGTAATCTAAAAAGCGGCGCGGTAAGAGACACCGCCCGTCTAATGCAAACTTACCGAATATACGGTGCATATCACGAAAACCAACCGGAAGAATAATAACATTTTCGCCTGAATAATTTGCCACTGACGAAAGATTCTTCACGAACGAGCAATCGCCAATGTAATTATCGAGCCGGTACGATAATCTTATCGCCGTAAAGCTAGAGGTCAATTTTTGCTTGCCCTATTAAACAAACATCTTGGGAAATTTCGTAGTTGGATCACAAAATAAACATAATACGAGAAAATCTCATGCGTAATTCGTCAATTTCTCCAAAAGTGTTCCGTGCACTCAGTGGTGGTCCGCGGGGGGCATTGTCCATTTTTTTCATCAATTTTATGTCGATCTTATTTCCATTATGCGAGATTTCTTTTATTTTTTTCCGTGATGGGACAAAGTTCGGGTTTGGGCCCCTCCCTTTACCAAATCCTGGGACCGCCACTGCGTATACTAGGAACAGATCGTCGGAAATCGGACAGTCCTCGCTATCTATGTTTTGTTAACGGTTCCTTGAAAAGGTTATCCGCAGTTCTGCTTATTTAAGTGTCGCACATCGGCACATCAGTCATCAAATCGTTAATCTCAAACGTTAAAAAAATTGCCAAAATCTCAATTTTAACACTCCAAATTCTCAATTATTCCAATTCCTAAAGTTATACAACTTTTGAGTTTTAGGTTGTAGTGTACTTAATAACCCCCAGGTTCTACGCTAACTTCATACAACGGCAACGTTTAAACTAAACGAGATCCCGCTTAAATTTGAAAAGGCCCCCCTTACGTTAGTGGTAGACAACCCTTTGACCTGAAGCACAGTAGGGAAGGAACATAAAATAAAACACTCAAATTGTGAAAAGTTTGTTTAATAATGATCGCAATTATTAAGATTGTAAAAGCTCAGAAATTTAAGTCCAAAATAAATTACATTGCAAAAATAAACTTTAAAAATGGTAGTTCACCGAATAAAAATAGAAATAGGCTGGGAAAAAAAGAACTTACCAATAAAAAAAACCAGCCGTCAAATTAATATCAAATTGTATTGTAAAATTAATTGTTTGTAATGATGTGAATGCGTAACATAAAATTATAACATCACAAAAAGTAGCAGGTAAACTTCAAGAGGTAACATATAGGTAAAAAACAAGTTTTGGGAATTATGGGTCAGGTAAGCAGGTACCAAGATTCTAAGAAAGGGTGAAATACACAGGATGTGACTCATCTTTGGTGCAATAAAGTCCTTTTGTTAAAAGCAAGATGGAAAATTACATGACCTTGTAGGCAAATTTAACTAAAAACAAGATCTGTGGAAATTATTGAATCGCCACTCATTTGTCGCACATTGATTCTAAACTGGAGAGCTTTGATTAGCTTAATCCCGCTCCGGCAAGATGGGTAGCCCGCCTCTGCTTTCGGGGTTTCGAGCCTACAGTTGGATGCCGAAGACAATCACGGAATTAGGTGTCGTACTTCAAATGGTTACAGTTTTTACCTCCCCCGTGACTGCTTCATTCACGGAGAAAATTGTTAGTAACAAACAACAAGTCAGTACATACATCAAACGCATCGATAATTTCCACATATTGAAATAAAATTATCAAAACTTACATGAATGTTACTTCGGGCACAAGACCAAGTAATCAACATCAATAAACATAAATTAAGCAAACATTACACTAAAAACGTAAACGATTAAAACAAAAGGATAACGGTATTAAACATGTCATTCTGCATTGCGGTTAAACTAGTATATTTCAAAAACAAAAATTCACACACACAAAAAATATAAAATGTGGCATACAAAACACAAATACGATATAAAGAAATGCAAAGATTACTAATTTACTACCTGCATTAAATAACACAAAATAACAACAAACATTTATCGAGCGACGCGTTCACGACCACCGTTTAAGACAAGATGCCAAACGTAACCCACGTTCGTGCTTTTTAGATGGCGCAGGCAGCTTTTTCCCACCTAGAAATTGCATGGTTGCCAACTCTCAAAAATGTATGTATTGTCGTAAGTTGTATGTACAGGGTGAAACCTCTCAAAGTTAGACTTAGGTGTACCTAAGGATTTCAATTCCATGTACTGTCCTAGGTTAGTCGAGTAAATAGTGAGGTTTTAGAATAAATCGAGGGACGAATTAATTTTTTCTACATTAATTTAATTTAATTAATCACTTTATTGGATAACAGCAGTGAGCAAAGGCTGGAACACGTATGAATTATAGATTCCGGCTCCGCACTACTTAGGTGGAATTATTTTTTAAGGTGAGAGGTTCCACCCTGTATATACAACTTACGACGATGCACACATTTTTCAGAGTTGGCAACCATGCAATTTGTAGGTGGGAAAAAGCTGCCTGCGCCATCTAAAAAGCACGAACGTGGGTTACGTTTGGCATCTTGTCTTAAACGGTGGTCGTGAACGCGTCGCTCGATAAATGTTTATTATTTTGTGTTATTTAATGCAGGTAGTAATTTTTGCGTTTCTTTATATCGTACTTTTGTTTTGTATGCCGCATTTTATATTTTTTGTATGTTTCAATCTTTGATTTTGAAATTTACTTGATTTAACCGCAATGCAGAATGACATCTTAAATACCGTTATGCTATTGTTTGTAATTGTTTACGTTTTTGGTGTAATGTTTGCTTAATTTATGTTTATTGATGTTGATTACTTGGTCTTGTCCGTGAAGTAACATTCATATAAGTTTTCATTTTATTTTAGTATGTGGAAATTACCGATTCGTTTGATGTATGTACTGACTTGTTGTTTATTGTAACTAACAATTTTCTCCGTGAATGAAGCAGTCACGGGGGGTGGTAAAAACTGTAGTCAAAATTGAGCTACGACACCTAATTCCGTGATTATCTTCGACATTCAACTGTAGGCTCGAAACCCCGAAACCAGGGGCGGGTTACCTATCTTGCAGGAGCGGGATTACGCTAATCAAAGCTCTTCAGTTTAGAATCTATGTGCGATAAATGAGTGGCGATTCAATAATTTCCACATATCTTGTTTTTAGTTAAATTTGCCTACAAGGCCATGTAATTTTCCATCTTGTTTTTAACAAAAGGACTTTATTGCACCAAAGATGAGTCACATCCTGTGTATTTCACCCTTTCTTAGAATCTTGGTACCTGCTTACCTGACCCATAATTCCCAAAACTTGTTTTTAACCTATATGTTACCTCTTGAAGTTTACCTGCTACTTTTTGTGATGTTATAATTTTATGTTACGCATTCACATCATTACAAACAATTAATTTTACAACACAATTTGATATTAATTTGACGGCTGGTTTTTTTATTGGTAAGTTCTTTTTTTTCCCAGCCTATTTCTATTTTGATTCAGTGTACTACTATTTTCAAAGTTTATTTTTACAAGGTAATTTACTTTGGACTTAAATTTCCGAGCTTTTACAATCAATAATAATTGCGATCATTATTAAACAAACTTTTCACAATTTTACGTTCCTTCCCTACTGTGCTTCAGGTCAAAGAGTTGTCTACAACTAACGTAAGGGGGTCCTGCCTTAGATGTTTGATCACGTGCCACTTTTCAAATTTAAGCGGGATTTTGTTTAGTTTTGGAGGGAATAGTCATTCGGGTGGCCATTTTTAAACGTTGCCGGGTTGACTTTATTTTCGTGTTCTTGTAGTGTGAAGTTAGCGTAGAACCTAGGGGTTAAGTATACTACAAAGTTCTAACTAAATCATGTCTTTGAATTACGCACTGCATTTCCCTTGACGGGAGATGAATTTGTTTCCAGGCCACACGCAAGTTTTGTGAATCATAAAGAGCGCGTGGAAATTTTTATATATTGAATTCAATTAATCAATAATAAATGAAAAGATATTACCTTGTGAGGTTCCAGCTTGATTAACCGTGTCTGCCGATATTGCACATTTTTACGATCACGTTTCTATCACTACCCTGTCAGCCGTCAATTTCTTTAGAACCAGATTAAACTACTAGACACGCTCGAAACATAAGTTACATAACCGAATTCTGTATAAGCATAACCTATGAACATTATGAGAATGTATGGGCATAGAAACCTATAACGTGGATTAAGGATTATTGAGTTGTTATTTATCCCTTTACCTTATCCTTGAGGCCATGAGGGTTATTAACCGACGAGCAGCTGAAGCATACCAATGTAACTGTATACTAAGAACAACTCCCGAAAGTAGAAGTAAAATTTGTAACATCCGTTATCATATAAAAATATGAAGTTGATGATGGTTTCTCAAAGACGAAACGTTATTGACATGTTCTATAATGGGAATAAACCATTGTAGAAGAAAGGTTCTTTCAACAATACTTTCTATAACATTTTATTATTTTTGAAACTTCTACATACATATTACTACTATCATGCTCTTACATCTGTTACCTTAACTTCTTATTACAGACTTGAATACCAATCTAACCACTCTCTTTGGGAACAATAATATACAGTAATATTTATTAAGAAGTAGACATAGGGATTTACATCTACTTTAAAATGATAAATCCAATTCCAAATAAAGATCTGGCCGTCATATTATTTACTTAATTTGAATATTGTTGCCTTAGCTTTTTTTTAAGAAGTTACGCATAAAATTAGACACCTTCAGAAGTAGACATAGGGAAAAACAATACACGTAAATCCCTATGTCTACTTCTTAATAATTATCACTGTATATAATCGAATCGAATCTTAGACTTCCTAATCCTTAGGATCTTCTTAACTTGACCTAAACACACTTAAATGGATGAGATACAGAATGTTGCGTATAGGGTTTTATACACTTTATTACATAAATTCACTTGATAGGTATTTAAATTCATTTGTGCACTAAGAGATGTCTTTTCAAGTTGCTTTGAAAATGTGTGGCGAAATCACACGCGTCACATTTAAAACCTTTAGATCGAGTGTGTATTAAGACATGTTTTCTCAAATAGTCTTTGCTATATGTCGTATAATCACAAAGGTCACATTTAAAATCACTACATTGATTGTGTCTTAAGACATGCTTTCTCAAATAGTCTTTTCTATATGAGGTATAATCACAAAGGTCACATTTAAAATCACTAGATTGATTGTGTATTAACATATGTTTTTTCAAATTACCTTTTCTGTATGTGGCATGATGACACAATCCACATTTAAAAACTTCTGGTCGATTGTGTATTAAGACATGACTACTCAAATTGCCTTTACTGTATGTGGCATAATAACAAACATCACATTTAAAATCTTTGGAAACTCGGTGTTTTAAGAGATGCTGCTTCAAATCGCCCATACGATATGCTGCGTAATCACAAATTGCACATTTGAAATCTTTACATCGATTGTGTGTTAAGACATGTTTCCTCAAATTGTCTTTACTATATGTGGCATAATCGCAAATGTCACATTTAACATATTTTGATTGATTGTGTTTTATGATATGATGCTTCAAATTGTTCTTTCTATACGTGGCATAATCACAAAAGCGACATTTAAAATATTTAGATCGATTGTGTATTGCCACGTGTTTCCTCAAATTGCCTTTACTATACGTTGTATACTGGCAAATGTCACATTTAAAATATGTAGATGGGCTATGTTTTAGGATGTGTTGTTTCAAATTCTCTTTTCTACATGTGGCATAATCACAAATTACACATTTAAATTCTTTAGACCGATTGTGTATCACAACATGTTTTTTCAAATCGCCTTTACGACATGTTGTGTAATCACAAAGGTCACATTTAAAACCTTTGGCAGTTTCCCGTTCGAAATGGTGACTTTTAAATTGTTGCTCATTACCTGCTTCGCATTTAAATTGAGATTTAATATCTGACGAATAATGTTGCTGCATTTCGTCGCCATTGCACTGGTCGCTACAATATGCTGCACTGGTTGTAGAATTCTGTTCTTCTTTTACAATTACCTTAACATCATTACTTAAAACTGTGTTTCTTTCTAGGGACAACTTTATTTCTTCTTCTTGTTCTGGTTCAACTTTAACAATGCCCTCATCCATGACTATCTACAAGAACTATTTTAAGCTATACGACCACAAAAATTGGGTTACCTGTACGACGAATGCTATGGCTTTAAAATAAATCACTAATAGCACAGCGTAAATACTATCATAGTTTAGGCTGTAGGTCGATTTAGCAAGAATCTGTTATTTTTGAACATAACCTTAAATGCTTACTCCGTGACACCGTAAGTACAGAGCGGTCATTAAGCTTCGAGTTAAAGTGAGGTAAATCGACTACACCACAAAATTTATCGCGCTCCGGCAAGATAGGTAGCCCGCCCCTGGTTTCGGGGTTTCGAGCCTACAGTTGAATGTCGAAGACAATCATGGAATTAGGTGTCGTACTTCAAATGGTTACAGGGAGAAAAATGTTAGTAACAAACAATAAGTCAGTACATACATCAAACGAATCGGTAATTTCCACATATTAAAATCCAATGATTAAAACTTATATGAATGTTATTTCAGGGACAAGACGAAGTAATTAACATCAATAAACATAAATTAAGTAAGCATTATACCAAAAACGTAAACAATTACAAACAATAGCATAACGGTATCAAATATGTGATTCTGTATTGCGGTTAAACCAAGTAAATTTCAAAAACAAAGATTGAAACATACAAAAAGTATAAAATGCGGCATATGAAACACAAATACGATATAAACAAAATGCAAAGATTACTACCTGCATTAAAAATCCACAAAATAATAACAAACATTTATGGAGCGACGCGTTCACGACCGCCATTCAAGACAAGATGCCCAACGTAACCCCCGTCCGTGCTTTTAAGATGGCGCAGGCAGCTTTTCCCCACCTAGAAATTGCATGGTTGCCAACTCTCAAAAATATATGTATCGTCGTAAGTTGTATTTACAGGGTGGAACTCTCAGTACTTTCCTTGGTATTTCCTTTTCCTTCTACTAATTAGATGCATTATAAGAAATGTTTAGTATAGGCTTATACAAACTTTATTACATAATGATCTTATGTAAGTACATATAATTTTTAAAGTCATTTGTGTATAAACAGATGTATTTTCGAACTTCATTCGCATAATCACAAATGTCACATTAAAAATCTGTAGATCAATTGTGTATTAAGACATGTTTTCTCAGATCGCCTGCTCTATTGGTATAATAATCACAAATGTTACATTTAAAATATTTAGATTGATTGTGTTTTAAGATATGTTGTTTCAAAGTGTCCTTTCTATACGTGGCATAATCACAAATTCCACATTTAAATTCTTTACATCGATTGTGTATTAAGACATGTCTTCTAAAATTGCTTTTACTATAGGTGGCATAATAACAAACATCACATTTAAAATCTTTAGTAACTTTGTGTCTTAAGAGATGATTGTTTAAGTCGCCTTTACGGTATGTTGAGTAATCACAGATGTCACATTTAAAATCTTTAGATCGTTTGTGTATGACAAAATGTTTTCTGAAATTGTCTTTACTAAATGTGACATAATCGCAAAAGTTACATTTAAAATATTCTGACTGATTGTGCTTTATGATATGTTGTTTCAAATTGACTTTTCTGTATGTGGCATAATCACAAATTACACATTTAAAATCTTTAGGTCGATTGTGCATTAAGATATGTTTACTCAAATTGTCTTTACAATATGCTGCATAATCACAAAAGTTACATTTAAAATCTTTGGATCGATTGTGTATTAAGACATGTCTTCTCAAATTACTTTTACTACATGTGGCATAATCACAAACGGCACACTTAAAATCTTTAGAAGCTTTGTGTTTTAAGAGATGGTGCTGCAAATCGCCTTTGCGATATGTTGCGTAATCACAAATGTCACATTTAAAATCCTTACATTGCTTGTGTATCACGAAATGTTTTGTCAAATTGCCCTTTACACTCGTGGCAAAGCCACAAACCGCACATTCAAAATCTTTAGAAGCTTTGTGTTTTAAGACATGTTTTTTCAAATAGTGTTTCACATATGTGGTATAATCACAAGTTTCACATTTAAAATTTTGAGATCGATTGTGTATTAAGGCATGTCTCCTCAAATTAGCTTTACTATTCGTGACATAATCACAAACGTCACACTTAAAACCTTCAGAAAGTTTGTGTGTTAAGAGATGTTGCTTCAAATCGCCCTTACGATATATTGTGTAATTACAAATGTCACATTTCAACTCTTCAAAAGACGTGTGTTGTAAGCCATGTTCTTTCAAACATTTCTTTACGTTTGATTCGTAGGCCCATTTAAAGACTTTTACAGTATCCGACGAATAATGTGGTAGCTGCATTTCGTCACTGTTGCACTGGTCTCTACAATATTCTCTACTGGTAGTAGTATTTAGTTCCTCTTTTACAATTACATTACTTAAAACCATGTTTTTTTCTAGGGACAAATTTAATTCTTCTTCTTGTTCTGGTTCAATTTTCACAATGCTCTCATTCATGACTATCTATAAGAACTATTTTAAGTTATACGATCACAAACACTGGAATACCTCGACAAATTTAATGCTTTGAACATAAATTGCTAATGGCCCAGCCTAAATACTATCATTTGTTTTATAAAAGCATAACAGCATAAGCATAACCTCAAATTCTTATTACTTGACACTCTAAATACAGGGTGGTCATTAAATTATTTAAATTTGGATTTGGTACTAAAACGCTATGAAGAATAGATAACAAAAATCTAACCGTTTAGATTGGAACGATTTTTTATTATACCGTTTATAGTGACAAAATGTGTGCATATTGTTACCTAGTTTAATTCCATTAGAATTATAGCGTTTTCGATTGGCAAAACTCGTGCTGCACGAGTGCAATTTTTACGTTCTATTGGTAATTTTAGGCCAATTTTCTGTGTTCCATTGGCAAATGTAATGCAACAATTACGCACTAAATGCAAATTTTGACGCACGAGGTCGGAGAGCCCGTGGAGCAAATTTTCAAAATAAAAGTGCGCCAATTTGAATTTGTTTCTTGCGTTGGAGAGTTTTTTGTTGTCATCTAGCGATAGCGAAGATGATGAACTAGCCATATAATTTCTACTTTACAAAAAGTTGCATTTACTCTTTAAAGTGAACGCCAAAAATTGGTTCTTTACAGGAATTTCAAATTTATATTCCTCATTGTTTATCATAAATAATAGTGAAATCGTTTCAGTCATTTTTTTAGAATACAGATTTGTCGATTACCTAAATCATTGTATAAATACAAATCTAAAATGAGGTTATGGACAAATGACAGCAAATATTTACGAATATTTATGTTCCATTGAGAGCAATTTTCACATGGATTTCTTCAGTTTCTCGTGCAACACTCGTGCAGTACGAGTTTTGCCAATCGAAAACGCTATTAGTATTTTATACATGCACAGTACAGTTAGGCACAGTTATTAACGTACTTTAGACACATGGAATATACAAGATGAGGCAAACTTAAAATGTACCCACAAACCATGTGCACATACGCGATATGAAGGTTATTGCCTTGATCTAGATGTTACGTGCAATATTACAAATTACCTTTAGTACAAATGGCATAATCACAAAAGTTACATTCAAGACTGGTTATGTGTTAAAAGATGTTTTTTCAATTGGCACTTACGATTTGTTTCATAATCGCAAAGATCACATTTAAATCCAGTATGTTTTAGAAGATGTAATGTTAATGACCTTTTATAGTTAGTTGCAAAATCACAAATGTCACATTTAAAAACTTTAGATCCCATGTGTTTTAGAAGATGTGATGTTAAGGAGCTTTTATGGTTTGTTGCATAATCACAAATGTCACATTTAAAATCTTTAAAGGTTCGGTGTTGTAAGACGTGTTCTTTCAAGCCTCTCTTAACATTTGTTGCATAATCGCAATTTGCACATTTAAAAAGAAGGGTAGCATTGTGGGTTAGTAGATGCGTTTTCAGACTGTCTTTGCGGTTTGTGGTATGATCGCAAATATCACATTTAAAATATTTCTTATCATCGTGAGTTAAGAGATGTCTTTTCAAATTACCTTTAGTGCCCATGGCATAATTGCAAATGTCACATTTAAAAGCATTAGATTCATCGTGTTTTAGAAGGTGCGATGTTAAGGAGTTTTTATTGTTTGTTGCATAACCACAAATGTCACATTTAAAATCTTCAGATCCATTGTGCATTCGAAAATGTGATATTAAGGAGCTTTTATAGTTTGTTGCATAATTACAAATGTCACATTTAAAACTATTAAATCCATTGTGCCTGCGAAGATGTGATGTTAAGGAGCTTTTGTGGTTTGTTGCATAATTACAAATGTCACATTTAAAATCTTTAGATCCATTATGTGTTCGTAAATGTGATCTTAAGGAGCTTTTGTGGGTTGTTGCATAATCACAAATGTTACATTTAAAATCTTTACATCCACTGTGTGTTCGAAAATGGGATGTTAAAGAGTTTTTATTGTTTGTTGCATAATCACAAATGTTGCATTTAAAGTCTTTCTTTTCACTGTGTATTAAGAGGTGCTGCTTCAAACTGCCTTTACGATTTGATGCATAATCGCAAATTTCACATTTAAAATCTTTCTTTTCATTATTGTGTGTTAAGAGATGTTGCCTCAAACTGCCTTTACGATTTGTTGCATACTCACAAATGTCACATTTAAAATCTTTAAAGGTTCTGTGTTGTAAGACATGTCCTGTAAAAGCTTTTTTAACATTTGTTGCATAATTACAATTTGCACATCTAAAAAAATGAGAAACAAAATTGTGAGTTGGGAGATGTTTTTTCAAACGGTTCTTGCAGTTTGTGGTATGATCACAAAGGTCACATTTAAAATCTTTCTTATCGTTCTGTGTTAACAGATGGTGTCTTTTAAAATTTTGTTCATTATCCACCATGACACCACAAACTTTACATTTAAATTTGTCAGTAGAAGATTTAATATCTGACGAGAAAGATTGTTGCTGCATTTTGTCGTCATTGCACTTGTCTCTACAATATTCTACACTGGTCGTAATCGTCTGTTCTTCTTTTATAATTGCGAAAGTATCATTATTTATAAACATTTTTCTTTCGATGGTCAAATTTATTTTTTCTTCTTCGTCTGGTTCAATTTTAATAAAAGGATCCATCACTGTAACAACTACTTTTGAAGCATATGGCCACAAAGATTTCTCGACTTGCCAGATCTCTGCTTAGTACAAATACAGGAATTGTTGAAAAGTTTGTTTGTATCTATTTCACATAACCTAGAAGTTTGATAAATCCATACTCAGAGTAATCCATAAGTACAGGGCGATCATTGGCCGCGTTCATAAGACACAACTGTTGTGGATCAGTTACCGTAAAGTCACTAGATATAGAAAGTACCGCAATCATCCGCCATTTTCGGGCAAATTTGCTGCCAACTTAAAAAAATTGACAAATAAAATCTGAATAGCTGTAATTTTTTATAATCTAACTTCATAGTACTGTCATGTTATAATAGTTATTTATGTATCATGGGCATTAAGGCGATATTTATGCCGAGGGCGACAGAGCCCGAGGGCCTGCGAAGGATTGTAAGTCGCCCGAAGGTTAAATATCAAGTAATGCCTGAGGTGCATACAAAATTTTATTTTTCATCGTTCCAAATAAGTAATGCATTTCCAATATACAAATGTAATGATTATTGTTTGCCCACTTTATATCAAGTAGCATCTTTTTTTATTACATAAAATAACTCCGTCAATGTATTTGACAGACCGTTTGAGGGCATAATGAAATGACAATCCATTATGCCCTCGAGTGTCATAGACTGATTTATATATCTCATATGACAGATATTATTGGCATATAATAGGCAAATGAAAAATAAAAATATACACAGATATCTCCAAACAGTTGGAACAATCCCTAACATTAAAGTTACTAGAATCTGGTAACTTCCGCCATTTTTGGGCAAAAATCATGCGTTCTCTCTCTAACACACGAGCCAATGGATTGCGGTACTTTCTATATTTA